CTTAGTGGAGACCTCATAGAAAGCGGCTCTGAGGAAGGCGAAATCCGCCGAAACGTCAGCTCATTCGTGAATAAAGAATAATAACACCTCGCGTTTGCTCAACAAAAATACGAGGAATTACTTGATCAATGCCGAGGTTAATAGAAAGTCGGTCGTGGGTGTTAATGCTTTCTCTAGTAGATTGGAGGAGAGGATTGGGAGTGGTTCGAATCAGCGCACTGCTTGCTGAGGGACTGCACCAATAACCATTTCGCTGATCTTACCCTTTTTGACAATTTTGTCTCATTAGTATCATTTAAGGTAAAGTTAACTGTTTCAGATATCTCTCTGCTGTCCCGTTATCTCTATACTGAGGAGGAAGTCAAAGATGAGGATGTTCCATGGACGTGGGATTACATATTCGCCTCCGTTTCTGCCGAATTGCGAGAGGAATGGGCACAAGAGGAAGCTGATGATTAAGTATCGCTGTTTCTGTTGTATTTTGATGATAAAATTCTTTGAGCAGTTGTGTTTGTGTGATTGAAGTTTATTTCGAGTGTTCCACATACAGGATTGTATTCACATTGTTATTTTGTCTACAGGACACAGATACAGCTGTTCTTGGCAGTTGCCTAGTGAAGTATCTTTAAAAATGTTGTTAATATTAGTTAAGGCAGGTTTCAACTATAACCATCAATGAGAGTACGCCCTAGTGCTGTGTATCGGAACATTGGTTGCATGTTGGGAATCTGTCTGTTATTCTGCCTTTTTTATTACATCATTGATTATGACGATCATTTTCATGTTGATCAACATCGTAGACAGAAGCACCTCTATTTAACGGTATCGAAGGATCGGTGGGTTTTTACCATTCACTTTCGGGATAATGTACAGTGAGAAGGCGTGGAAAGGATAAATTATAGGTCAAGACGTGTGAATAATCTTTTAATCGTACAAGAGATGAGAGTAAGGAGCGTGGTCCATGTGTGGGTTAGTGTGTGTGTGCCCATAAATTGGTGTGGCTATATGTGCAGGAAAGTCGTGGTGGATTAATGTACATAAGTCGTTCTTATTGAGAAGCTAATGTAGTGAATATTATTTCCTATTTGTGAGCACACGTCCCCTTATCATGGCTGGGAGGTGTTCCTGGGTGTTGGACTGCGTTGTTCAGCTGGTAGATTTATCCCTGCACCAGAGCCTCCCAAACTGAGGAGTCAGACGTTTCCATCCAGAAGCCCAGGAAAGAGTAAACCAATGCCAGGATCCACCACCATCGTATCAGACTAGTAGCATATAACAAGTCTCCCTCTGATCCTCTGATCCTGCGGCTGTCTGTGGTGGTGGCGACCTGGGGTAGACTTTAGCCACTTTGGCCTGGATGACCTCGGGACTCCGGAGAACCACAATGGCTAAACCAGCAAACCTCCGAAGAAATGGGGATTGTGCTGGGTCCCGTACAACCACTGATGACAGATCATCCAAGTTTCCAAATAAGTAAGAAATCACAATTGGTTAACCCTTAAGCGGTGACGTAACCACTATGGGAGTCATGCGATACAAAAGTAGTGGCGACTTTTAGCTTTAGATCATCTCTGTTCTAGCTTCTGAACTCTAGCAGCCTGCAAATCTTTGCCTGCAGAGGAAGAGCTGTTTTGTTTTATTACTATGGGGTTCTAGTTTTCGGAATTTCATTACTCCGTTGCCTTAAGTGATTCTGAGTAGTCCAAATTCAAATTTCAGAATTGGTCATCGATTTGGAAAATTGGCACCAAAGCGGATTCTAATGTGGACGAGAGTGTTTGGTGAAGAGAAACTTGACGACTTTAGAGATTGTAAAGGATTGTCTGTAGGTTTTCTAGTCTATTTTTAAACCACGGAAGAGGCTTTAGTTCATAGAGCTCGTTCACGTGGAGACGGGTGTACCCTTATCCATTCTTACTCGAAGGGTTTTTTTTAGTTTCCCTAAAGTTTTACACTCATGAACAGTATGTGATTGAGCTGTTTGTGCTACTGAACTATAAGCCATTACAAGTATCTCCGTTCACAGTTTCCAGGTTACAGGATCGTTGTATTATGACTTCGAACAAATCCTTGGTTTCACTGGTTGATGCTGTTGTCTTCCATGCTCAAGATATTCCGGACACGCCCCTTCCTTTACCAAGTGACCGTCGTTTTCACCAAAGATACGTGTTTATGACTATGGAGGCGCCATCGAACAGCGGCAGACATGCAGTACCATGTATTTTTTAATCCACTTCCACCTTTAAGTTCATTATCAATTATTATATACCATATAAAAACCAGTATATAGCAGCAAAGGGCGCGTTTAGCGCAGTGGGCGGAGACGCCATACAGTTAGCTTGGGATCGACCCCGGCGCCACCGGCTAACAAAGCGCTCCTTCTCTCCAGGGTCGGCACATTGGTACCAGGTTTGTCTGGGAGGATAACCGCACTGGATCGATATATCGGTAAGCCACTGCGAGTCATTGAAGGCCAGATATGCATTTAATCGCCTCTAACGATGCTTAATGAAGTCAAATGTACGGTGCATTCCTCTGGGATTGATCAACGCCGAGAGTTTTATCCTCTATACAGCAGCCATTGTTGTCCACACAAAGTCTTATTCGAAAGGGAAGCTGTCTTTTCCAAAGTTCTACAGTTCCAGTAAACTTCTTCAACTGGACCGCGACGTATTTGCTCTCATCGGATGTAGTTTTTAAATATGGACCGTACTATCTTCCGTCAAAGAAGGCTGAGGAAAAGGGATTCAAACTTATAGTCGGTGCCTTTCTTGTTCAGTTTTCTCTTTTTTTCCGAAGCTTTTTTTGGCTTTAACATGATTTATGAAAAAGGCTTTTCGTGTTTAAATTGTTGATGTTAAAGGAAAGTCAGTTTTTGAAATATAGGTCTTTCTTGTCAAACAGGTATCGCTTTCCAGGACCTTTATGCTGATGGATCTGTCCCTAAGAAGAAGTCGGGTATATTCGGACTAGTTTCAAATTGTAACACGATATCGAAAAGGGAAATTGCTTTGAAGGAGCTGTCAAGGCAGGTCTCTTTAAATAGGAACTTGCCCAATTTTTCTGAAAATGCTTGGATATGGCATACTCCTTCATATTATTCCTCTATCGTGCTATATTCAGGTATATGAATGTGACCATAGGAGGAAAATGTGCTCTCAACAATTCAACTATTGATATTTGTCCTCATGGAAGTGGTTGTCTTAATTTGTATGGTCAATACCCATTCTACTTTGCTGTAGAAAACTCTGTTCGTTAACACCACTGTTAATTTTCTTAATGTTTGATTTTCAATATTTATTTCTTACTAAATAGCAAGGGCGTGCACGACGCAGTGGTCGGAGGCGCCTTGCAATATACACGGAATCGATCCTCGCGCTCCAGGTTCACCAAGTCTTCCCTCCCTCCGGGGTCAGCAAATTGGTACCAGACTTGTCTATGAAGATAGCAACACTGGCTCGATACATCGGCAGGCCACCGAGTGTCATTGTAAAGGTCAAATATGCATTCAATCACCTCCAACGATGCTTAATGAAGTCGAATGCATGGCGCATCCCTCAGGGATTAGTCAACGCCAAGGGCTTTATCCTTTATCCTTTTAAACACTAAGACTGCATTCCTGACTGTCAGTTGATGGTGTGTCTTGCTGATAAGTAGGTGACCCAGAAGAAATGTGTAGAATATTTCATGGCATTCTTATTTTATCCGTTTTTCAGGTCTGTAAAGACTATATCACTGAAAAGTACTGGAGTAGAACTTCGGTACCAAGTATTCCAATTGTCATGAGGAGAAGGATTTATGAAACAAGGTTATCCTCATTACACATCTTGTCTAACTAATTTTCACCATCTTTCATTACCCTGTTTTAGTACCATGCCTCCACATTCTTTTATTGCAATGGACGACTACATTTCTCCAAGAGAAATGGCTAAACATTTGATAAGCTTGGAGTCGGATAAGTTAGTTGTTTTTTTTTTGGAGATATGCTTTTAGTTTTTCTTGCATAATGTTTATTGTTGCATATTATATTTTAAACTAGGAATGCGTATGCAGAGTATTTCGTGTGGAGGAAGGGTGGATGGACAGTTGCACCTTGGAATGCTCCTGGGTATAGAAATGGTTTTTGTCGACTTTGTGAGCGACTATGGGAAGAAAATCAAGAAAATAAAGTGGTAAGGTTTATATCTGTGACAAGTTCTCACTAGCACTTAGTCAAGTATTGGCTTATCCACTGACCTAATTGACTATGATAAGGCTCACCCCACCTTTTCAAGATATGGCATTTGGCCTGGTTTATCTTTGCTAAACGTTAATCTAGTGAAAGAACAAAAACGAATTCAGAAGTTGATATTTTTTAATCATCTTGTTGTTCAGTCACACCTCCCAAACGTTTGCCGCATCATCGTGGCTGGGAGGTGTTGTTGAGTGTCAGCCTGCGATGCAAAGTGGCTATTCATCCTCCCAGCATGATATCCCAAGCAGAGAAGGAATCCTGCGTTTCGATCAGGGAGCCCAACTAAGAGTAAACCAGGACTTGGATTCACCACCATCCCTTTACCAAACTATTCGCATGGCGGCAAATCTTCCTGTGTTCTACAAGGGCGGCAACTGCCTGCTGGGGTGGTGATGACTTGGGGCAGACTTTAACTAGGCTGACCTCTGGACTGCAGAGAACTACAATGGCTAAACCAGCAAAACTCCAAGAAAATGGAAATTATCCTGAGCCCCGAATAACCAATGAAGACGGGTTATCGAAGTATCCAAGTAAGTAAGCTCAATCAGCAAAGTTTCGTTGAACGATTCTTTTGTTTTAGTAACTACACGTGCCTTTCTTACCATGTGAAAATGGGTATAATTTACAATTTTAGTAGTTGACCTATGTTTCTAAACAAGTTTAAAGAGATTTTTTCTAGATTGGCGACGTATGGGCATGGTTTGATGGAGAGTCTCAGTGTGAAGGTGACGATTTTGTCAGAAATTGGATCAAAAATTAACGTTTTCGCCTATTGTTAATCGGAGTTGAGCTACGTTAGGACCTTGTGCAGAGCAGTATGACTTCTACTTATTGTACAGTGTATGGAATCCGCATACATGATTAGAATTTTTTTTCCTATACTACCTAGGAAATGGAATTGTTTTCTTAGTGTTTGAATATTTCTCAGATTACAATTCTTATTCGACCTTTCTCATGCTACCGTTTCCTTTCGTTAACTGTCAGACATTTGCATGTGAAATTTAGGTATGTTTCGATTTCTTTTTCAATCAGGCATTCGAACTTAATATGCCAACGGGGTCTGGTAATTCACAGTTTCGATAGTCTGGTTATTACAGTCGTAAGTAACCGGCTGATTGCTGATGATCTCTAATTTCCAATCAGGTGTCTCCACTCCACTTATCTCTGGGACTTTGTTACTAACTTGTAAAGTTTTATTTTGATACATTGCTCTTCTACTCAAAGTAATTTGCGCATGTTTTAAATCATCATTCGGGTTCGTTCTAAAGATTGTACTGAAGTGTATTTGAATAAACCCATAAAGGTCACGAATGTAACTACCTATAGTTTTTCCGCAGTGCATTTCTCGCATTTTCCCACACAACAGCAAGCATCTGGCGTTTTAGTGCCTCGATATCCTGGGATTCCTTCGAAATGCTTAGCCTATTAACAACGTATGTAGTGAATTTTTCCTATAGATTTTGTTTATTGGGATTTCACATTTAAAGAGTTGTATTTATATGGATGTTCTGTGCATTGTTGCAGTACCTAGCATATGCTCAGGGATACTGTAATTTTGACTCAGTATGGAGAGAGTGGGGCACGTACGCCGCATTCTTTAGAGGTGACCCAACAATAGACATTGAATCAAACGCTGGTTTGATCCAGCGTCTAGGTAAGTCCTCTATCTCTAAGTGGGTAGCGAATTGCAACCATAGTAGTCTTGGAGTAGAAATGCCAATTTGATTAGTCGGCAGACAACCGCAAGCCCTATTAATTAATGAAAATGCGGATTCCTCAACGATTTGTCAGCGTCCAAGTCTCTATTCGTTATCGCTTCGTCTAAAGGATTATTGACATGTTTGAAGTACCCTAAAAGCAAGGCATAAAATCGTATTTAAATGGAACGGCGACTGCTTGCAGTGAAGATCTGGAAATACCTTAGGACTGATTTGTGAGGATTGCTAGCAAAGTCAAGCTCCACGAGCTTTTTGCATGTTCCAACAAGCTAAGTATGGTTCTTTAAGATCGTTATTTGATTGTTTAGAATTGGAATTTCCAGGATGAATCGGGGGTAATTTTAAATTTTCCGAAATTCCAAACAAAATCCTTACGGCTGTAAACATTAACATTCCATTTGAGGACATTATCAGGTTCTTATGGACGAAATACCACTACTCAATTGCCTTGATTTCTGAAATACGAACCTCGATGCAAGAAATTACGTAAAGTACGCTTGATGGGCTCCACAAAATCAGAATTTCATCTTGTTGGGACAACTTATTCTGCAGGTAAAGGTTTGTACATTCTAATGCTTTTTATTCCAACTAATCAAATCCACTTTAAGCTAACGTATGCTGGTTTTAAACTGAAAGCTATCGTTGTTTTCGCACCGTGTGAGTGGAAGTCAACTCACGTCGGGTCTTAAGTGGGGATAATTGAGTAATCGTAATCGAGTAGTCGGGCTTTCTTTTCACGTACTAGAGCTGGTCAAGGAGTTCTGCATGTTCAAGAGACGTCAAACTTTTGGTAATCTCTTCTTTGTTCCCACACGAGTCTCGCTGGTCTCTGCCTGGTATTGCTCACCTCTTAACTGGGGTTTTAGGAAACAACATCGAAGTCTCCCAACTTTGGGGAATATGTTGAGTATGAGATATACGCTTCAGTAGCAATCCCTCGCAAAGATGAGACGGTAAGCCATTGGTGTTGGTACAAAAATCTAAAAATATGGATCAGGATATCGAAATAGGTGTAGGAGATCTCCAGTTGATCTCTTTCATGGGAACATTTTTTTTTCAAGAAGGAGGATCATCAGTGCTGGAGGTGGGATCTCCCAACGCTAACACAAATGCGATAATGCACCACCTTTTTTAACAAAAGATGGAAAGTACTCGACGTCCATGTCGTCCAGTTGTTCTGTAGCGTGTCAGATCATCAAGTTCGTGTAAAATCGCTTCTAGGATATGAGTAACCGTTTGCATTGACTTTAAGTGCATATTTTTTCCAGCTGTTCACTTTCCTACGCGGCAAGGAGCCAACTTTTCGCATTCAGCCATTAGCTTATCCAACACAGGTATCGTACGTGTTAAAGGTAGCCACCTCCCAACGGTTTACCGCCTCCTCGTGGCTGGGAGGTGTTCCTGGGTGTCAGACTGCGATGTACAGCGAGAGTGTTCGTCCCCCAATATGGTCTCCCAAGTTGAGAAGGAGTCCGGCGTTTCCATCAGGAAGCCTAGCTAAGAGTAAACCAATACCAATACTGGGATTCACCACCGTCCTGCTATCATAGTCGCATGGTGGCAAATCTCCCTCTGATCCACAAGGGCTGCGACTTCTTGTCATGGTGACGACCTGGGGCAGACTTTGGCCATGCTGTCCTCGGGATTTCAAGGCACTACAATGGCTTAACCAGCAAATCTCCGAAAAATGGTGATTATGTTGGGGCCCGCACAACTAGTGAGGAAGGGTCGTTCAAGTATCAAGTAAGTAAAGGCAGTTAATGATGGCCACTCTCTAGCTTAATAGTTTACAAGAAAAACCTTTTTAAAGGACTTCGTTCGCGTAGTTTCACTCCTGTGACGGGTATTAACACTCTGACGTATTTTTGTTGAGTAAACGCGAGGTGTTATTATTCTTTCTTCACGAATAATCTGACGTTTCGGCGGATTTCGCTTTCCTCAGAGCCTGCCCACCATTCTCCTCCGGAGGCGGTCCTCCAAATACTGAGCACAAAAGTTTTCCTTCGTCTCGCACTTCTTCCACTTGGCGAACATCTGGTTTTGTCGGCTTCGTAGACAGGTGCGTAGTATTCGCAATTCGATGTCCAGTACTCGGTGACTGTCCTCTGGTAGTCCGCATACATCATGTAGTCGTCTTCGTTTGATGAAGTTCGGAACGACTCGATGTTTTAGACAGCGGCGGAGAAAGTGTATTGACTATCGAGCTAAGACGATTTTTTGTCTTAGTGACAGCGCTTCTTTTACAAGTCGGAAGTATCCTGCTGGTACATCTTGCAGTAACTCCCACGACCGACTTTCTATTAACCTCGGCATTGATCAAGTAATTCGCCGCTGTCTAAAACATCGAGCCGTTCCGAACTTCATCAAACGAAGACGACTACACGACGTATGCGGACTACCAGAGGACAGTCACCGAGTACTGGACATCGAATTGCGAATACTACGCACCTGTCTACGAAACCGACAAAACCAGATGTTTGCCAAGTGGAAAAGTGCGAGACGAAGGAAAACTTTTGTGCTCAGTACTTGGAGGACCGCCTCTGGAGGAGAATAATGGGCAGGCTCTGAGGAAGGCGAAATCCGCCGAAACGTCAGCTTATTCGTGAATAAAGAATAATAACACCTCGCGTTTGCTCAACAAAAATACGAAGAATTACTTGATCAATGCCAAGGTTAATAGAAAGTCGGTCGTGGGAGTTCCTCTGACGTATATTCATACTGAAGTTGCAAGCTTAGAGGCATTTTATTAGGACGATCATCTATATCACCTGTAGTGCCGTTGATCGTGGAGTGACTTAGGTGAGAACCAATCATGTATCCATTTGTTTCTTTCGCGTATAGGAGTAGCTTAGTGGGCTTCGTTACCAATAAGGCCTCGCCGAGCACTTTACTTTTGTTCTAGGGGCTTTATGAAGAATTTTGACCATTGAGTAGGTGGCCTTACTGTTGTGCACTTGACAACCTATAGAATCCACTCACTAACGGCTCACGTTTATCGGTTGCGACAAACGCAAACAGTCCATCTTTAGACGATTCATTGATTCTTAACCGTCTTCATATTTGCATAACAATCTGTAATTCCTGCAGTTAGGATAGTTGGACGTGCAATGGGACGGAAAATGCAGTGGTAGTGGCGTCCGTCGTCACGAGCATGGTGCTAGTTCGATTCCGCTCCGGGCCAACCAAGTCTTTCATCGCTTCGGGGTAGGGAGATTAGTACCGGACTTGTCTGGGAAAAAAATTGCTGTGCGCAATCCAAATGAGAACGCTCCAGCCCGGATTATCTCAAGACTCCAGGGAGAATCGCTGGACCAGCATTCTACGACATTTAAGATGAAATGAAAATCCTCAAGTAGCAACCGAAGCCACACGTTAGAACTTCGAAGACCTTCGTGGGTGATGGATGTGGGGAAACAAACTGGATGTGAGAAGTGCTGGGATCGGCACAGCAGACGCGAAGAGGGATCAAATTTAAAAAATTTCGGCAGTTAACACCTCACATATTATTTGAAATGATTACGAGAAGCATCCTCTTCAACATACACTTTTTTATGCCTCATACTTCTTCAGTTGAAGAAGCTATTTGTTTTCAATGCGATTGGATCATGTTTCGGTATTTTCTCTGTTTTGGTCATAAAGGTGTTTCATTGGGCAGATTGCAGTCATCTTCACCTTACAGGCTCTGAAGACGACGAAAATCCGCCGAAACGTCAGCTGCTATAAATAAATAATATATAGTAGTAACTTCGTACGTGCTATTCAAGAAAAAAGCAAGTTATTCATCAATGCCGCGTTTAATAGAAAGTCAGTCTTGGGAATTAATCCATACGTATTCATTAATAAGCTAGAAAGAGGCTCATAAAAAAGTCTATTCTGCTGGTGTTTCGACGTCTTCGTCCTCTTCAAAGCCGATGATGCGAGTCGATAGTCCACAGTAGTCCGTACCCTCGATGTGGTGACTTCGTCGTCGTATTGAGTCGAGTCTTCTTCAGTGGAGCACCGCTAGAATAGGCAACATCACCCAGCTTTTTTATACAGAACGGTCAATCAGTGTAAAGGAAAGACGGTTTTTAGAATATTGATTCCACATGTGCTAGGTAATGTAGTGCCGACGGCTGCAGGTCGGACTGTCCTTTGAAAAAGAAATTATCAACGACGAACAGTCAGTATCATCAACAATCGTCCTATATAAAAGAACATTTTCTGACGAAGTGGTTGTCTCATTCGAGTGTTGCTCCACTGAAGAAGATTCGACTCGATACAATGACGAAGACACCACATCGAGAGTACGAACGATTAAGGATAGTCGCGAGTCGGATCATCGGCTTTGACTAGAATGAAGAGAGCGAAAAGTTAACCGAAGAAAGTTGTTCATCAACCTCGTGCTAGCTCATCAGTGAAAGAGTACGTTTTGCGAAAGCTGTTAACTGCCACACTGGAGTGGTACAATAAAGGACAAAGCTTTCGGCGTTGATCAATCCCTGAGGGATGTGCCATGCATTCGACTTCATTATGAATCGTTGGAATGCATATCTGGCCTTTACAACGACTCGCGGTGGCCTACCGATGTATCGACCCAGTGTTGCTATCCTCCCAGACAAGTCTGGTACCAATATGCCGACCCCGGACGGATGGAAAACTTCGTGAGACATGGGCGCAAGGATCGATCCCAAGTGCGTGTCGCAGGGCGCCTCCGACCACTGCGCCATACGGGACGCTTTTTGGAAAATTTTAGAATTTAGAATTTCTAATGCCAGCAGCAATTTCGACAAATCTACTTGTACAAATGCAAACTCGAACGCAATGCAACACAAACGGCTCCAAGTATAAACTAGATACTGGACCATGGAAATATTAACGAACGCACGGTAAAACACTGGTTTGGAAAATTTCGTCGTCATCAATTCGACACTGGGATGAGTGAAGTCGCAGACGTCCTGTTGCTATTTACGACGATGATCTAAAGGGATTGGTGGAGGCAAATGAATGCACAACTTTTCGAAGGCATGCAGAAGAATTCGGTGCAAGCATCTCAGCTATTTCGGAGATGTTTCATATAAAAATCACTGGGAAGTTGTAGAAGCTCAAGAAATGGATGCCATATGAACTCAGCGACAACAGAAAAATCGCTATTTTGAGATATCGTCGGCATTTCTTCTGGTCAACCACCATAGCCCTTTTCTCTACCGTATTCCAACGTGCGAAGAGAATTAGACCCTTTATGATAACCGGCGATGGTCGGCTAAGTGATTGTAGCACGATGAAGCCCTGCAGTACTTCCAAGGCCGAAATTGCACCAAAACAATGCCATGCTGATTGCTTGGTGGTTCACTACTAGTTTAATCCATCGATGCTTCTTGAATCCGGGTGGAACGATTACGACTAAAAATTGCGCCTCATTGAAATGGACCGCAAATTTCAACTGATGTGTCCCGCATTGGTCAACAGATAAGGACCAATTCTTCTCCACGAGAACGCGTGGCCACACTTCGCATAATCGACACTGCAAAATTAAGCAAACTGAGCTATGATACTCTTCCTCATCCATCATACTTCCCACACCTCTCTTCCACTAAATACCCTTTCCTTAGGCAAGTTGACAACATCTTATGCGGGAAATGCCTCTGAAACAAAGTAGTGGCGGAAACTGTTCTGAACTACTTCTTGACATCCAGAAATCCAGAATTTTGTCGAACCGCTATGGTTAAACTGGTTTCTCATTGGCAAAAACGTGTAGATTCTACTCGTTTTAGTCTCGATTAGGGATGTCTTTTCTGAGCCGCCACTTCAGAAATAGAGCTTGAAGTCCTCTAGTAATTTCTCCAATATTTCCATTTCAGGATGAAGAAAATGCCTGCCTTTATTACCTGACAAGCAAGTAACAATCGTCGTATTAACAATGACAATGGGTCCATTAATGGCTGCTGACAATGAGCCCATTAATGGCTGACATGGCTGCTTCAAAATGAAAGGGCAACAATGAGTGGATGAAAACAAATAAGCAATTCATACATAAAAACGATAACTTGTTATGATCTACCTGATAAAAATGCAATACACAGAAGAGACCAGCATTGCAACAGGAGAAATCTCGAAGAACTTTAAACAAAGGCGCTCTAAACGACAGTTGTACTCTGGGGACACTTCTTTAGAAAGGCAACTATGACTTTTGAAATGGTGCATCACTGTAGATCAGATGCGAGATGACGTCACACTGAGATACGCATGCGATAGGCTTCAGACGTTCGTCGACGACGAACACACAGCGCATATGCTTTGCTTCCAGTAGTACATCCAACACTTTTCCTACAGGATCACAGGGACGCACAAAGACGGTAGCAGGACGATGACCAAGCACGGTTGATACGGTCGTCTCACGTAGGAATCTCTGGAAATGTTTATAAAGTGGCAACGGTTTTACGGCTTTTAAAGAGCCTAAGTAATCCTGATGTTATCCTAACATCAGAGTTACTGGTTTATAGCAGATAAATATAACCCTAGCAGTATTTATTCTAATATTCCATTCCAACTTTATTTTTATAGACAGAATCTGAAACAAAGTAATTCACGAAGTAATGACCCCAATCTTTTGTTCAACAAATGTTAGAAAGTGCCTTGAGTTAAGTCGTTACGTATTATAAAAAATTTTAGAAAAAAAGACAAAACTATGCAGGTCACTTTTTTTGTGAATATTCTCTCTGGGTCTCTCTCAGCGAAGTCTTTATCAGTGGACTGTCTCAATGAGCTATTTCTTTGGAGTTCTGCGGAGTGAACATAAGGAATAGGAGAGATATCTGCTGGCACATAATAAAATAGGAAAAATATTATGAATACCTGTGGATCGTCAGATTCCATGAGGGCCACAGCAAAGTCGATTTTGGTGATCACGTCAGCCGCCTGACCATTCAAATCAAGAACTGGCAGTGAGGAAAGCTTATGGGTTAGGAGTGTCTCGACGACATCATTTAGTGTGTCGTCCATTGAGACCTAGAAGAAGCATTTTAAAAAAATGGCTTATCTCAAGTGAAAACAAACCGAATGTATGCCATTTTCCCATGTTCCTACGCCAGAATCCTTAATTGAACTACTCAGCCACTGCGCAAAATGTAGAGATCGATTCTAAAGCAAGTGAAATACTCAAAAATACACAAAGTGTACTACATAAACATAATAGAACAGCAGGTAAGAGAGTTCTAATATATGGAAGGCATACAAGTTTTGAAAGCATTAACTATAATCACAGTGGGCGGATAGCACAGTGGTAGTGGTGCCGATCATCACGAGAACGATGATGGTTCGATCTCGCCGCAGGCCTACCAGGCCACTCATCCCTCCAAGGTCGGAAAATCGGCATGTACAGTTGGGAACGCTAAAGCCCGGCTATCCAGGACTCCAGGGAGGATTGCTCGACCAGCATTCTAAGGCCATTCTAAGGCATTCAAGATGAAATGGAAATCCTCAAGGAGCAACCGAAACCACACTTAAAAGTTGAAAGATATTTTTGGATAATGAATGAGAGGAAACGAATCGAATGTGAGAAGTAGACATGAAGTTGGGTGGTATAGAACAAAAGAAAACTAGAATCATCAGTGTTTCATCACGCATGTACACAAATATATAGATACACATAGATCTTATGAGAGTAGAAGATCCTTCTCTCTATAAAAATGTAGACGTATAATAGACACCTGCTTGTGGATGGCCTGTAACACTCGTCTAATTGTCAGAAGATAGAGTATGTCTCCAGAGTGCGGTTCATTAACAATTATGCGGTAAACACCATTAAAACAGAACTCCTCACACGCTGCGATCACTCTGAAACTTTGGTTGCCTAAACATTTGGCAGCGTTTCAACTCATAGAACTTAGAAAAATACTACGTTAACTATCCAGCTAATTAAATAACCTATTTAACTACCGAGATCAAATGACGGTTGGTTTGAAAATTATTTGTCTTAAAATCTTTTTATTTAATTCCAAGTAAATCTTAACTAGACAAATGTACTCTAAGCGTTTTCATACTCCTAAACAAGTTTGGTACCAACTTGTCGGCCGCAGAGTGATGAAAGGCTCGGTGAGCTACGGCTATGAGATCGAACAAGCTACCAATATGTACAGCGGAGAACCTCTAATCACTGCGCTACATGCGTCCAATATAATATAGTACAGTGAATTAAATTCCCTTCAACCTTCCTAATTTATCGGAAAGCGTTGTAACCTATTGTATGGGAGCTGATATGAATGAATATACTTTATTGGATAGTTAGTAGGTCCGTCTTCACCTATAGCATGAGCTACAGCATAATTTCTATGTTTGATCGAGCTCGTTTTCGAGCATCTTAACGTGTGTGAGTAAATACCGGTTCGTAATCCATAAAGCGTTTCCAGCTATGAAGACAGATGGTTGACAGGAGTAACAAGTTTGTATATCTTACAAGTGGTTAGATTTCACTCTACGGCTCTTCTTGTTCATCTGTCGTCATCCCTTCTTATTATATTATCGTTCCATCTATATTACTCCTTCAGCCTATATTTTCGCAAATTCCGAAAATGGAATAGTTTTCGGTTTGAACTGCGCACTCTGGTGAATGTTGTATAGGCCGGTCGTATTTCAGAAGACAAGGCTGATCATATGTTAGCATATATAATGAACTGGGTTTATTGTATAGGCCGATTATATTTCAGAAGATACTATTCATGCACGCAGCGTGTGGTATGCGAAATTTTCGACATGGAAGTCTGAAAACGCGTATTAGCTCCGCTTAGCAAAGCGCGAAGAGGACCGCTGCGTTGAAAAGTTAGGCGCAAATTTTTAAATTTCTGAACTGATCAGTAGTCTCTATGAGAAGCCCTGATGGAACCTATGTTTTTTTGTTTTTCCATAATTCTTCCTTAATGCGATTCTTCATGTTCATGCAACCCCCTACGTAGAAGTACGTGGTTTTTGTAATAAAAGAAAGCCATCCTTCCTTGTTTGTTCGGCGCACAATATACGTTTTCCTAAGAGCTAGGTTTTCTTAAAATTTACCTATAGTCGTATCGCTTTTCACACCTCGATGCACTCCTTCAAAAGTGTTTTGAATTTATAGGCACAGCTTAAAATATGACGGCGTCATCAGCAGAATAACGATTTGACAGGAATTTGCTATCAAAGCATATACCCCTCTAGTCTCAATCAAGCCACTCCATTATCCACTACATTGTGGCAATAGACAGCTTGGATAAGACGGCACCGCATTGTTGGAACTCTTTTTCCATCGGATGGTACGCCATCCGTGGGAAAAACTGTGCTTTCGTGTTGCACTTGCGATAGGAGTAAATTGGAGTTTTTATGTAGGTCGAAATCACTCCGTGTTCTACAAACGTTAAAGGAATGAAATAACTGCTGGTACTGTCGAAACGCTTTTCATTACAGATAAAAGTTCTCAGTACAGTAAGGTATTACTGACGGACCTCTATGAACCCATTTACCATTTGAATGCAGCCCATGCAACAAAATTCTTATCCGAATCCTGCATGTACAGCTTGTTAAGCTTCATCCAGAGTTTCTGATTTAATTAGTGGAATAATATTCAACATAAACCACATTAGTTACGAATATCGGTCATCTACCTTGGGCAAGGACTCAAAATTAGTAACACCACAAAGGTGGTACTGAACCGAGAACAATACAAATACTTAACCACGAATAACTTGTAGATTAAGAAACTCATAACCAACTTCCCACTCAAGCCTGATAATAATATTATAACGTCACTTTTTATTTTCTGACTATTCCTATCAATGGCAGGATATTATGTGAAGTATAACCATAATGATGCTGAGATATTTGCAAAATTCTGGATCGCTGGTGCCTGCGGTGGAGACCTAACACGCTTTTCGCGACTTCCTCATTGGAAGTCACGAAAAAGCTGCTCTGAAGAAGGTAATATTGCCGAAACGTCAGCTAGTGTTGTATTGTATTGTTTTTCTATGGAAGTAAATGTATGTTGTTTAAAAACCTCGCGATTGCTGAACAAGAAAACGACACGTTCATATTCCAATGCCGAGGTTAGTGGAAAGTGGCTCCTGGGAACCTAACACGCTGTTAACCTTTTCGTGGGCTAACGCGTTCACCACCACACCATGCGAGTCCTTCGTTTTGCCTTTTTCTCAGTTGTCTTATTGACCTATTGGTGCTGTCAGCAGCCAACCGTTAACGGGATTGATCTGGTGAGCACAAATTGGGATTAAACCCAGTTAGGCTGAAACTGTGCTATAAATCACAATGCCGTCACTTTTTATTTACTGCTCATTTTTTAAATGGTAAGGTATTATGTGAAATATACCTATAATGATGCTGAGATATACTTCACATAATGCCCTGCCATTAGAAAGAATAGGCAGTGGATAAAAAGTGATGACATTGTGATTTATACTACAGCTTCAGCTTAACTGTGTTCAATGCCGATTTGTGCTTCCAATGTCTCAGCACTGTAATAGAATTTAAGTTAACAGAAATGGTAGGTGGCCACAAGATAAAAGTTTTTAAAGAGATATATATATATATAGAGATCTTATATATATATATATATATATATATATATATAAAAGAGATAAAAGTAGCCGTAGCGTACGTATTATATAACCCACTTCGAAAAACTTCTAACGCTACGTAACCGCTCAAATTGTAGAAATATGTTGCTGTGCATCAATAACAGCACCAAAATTAATGGATTAATCTCGAGCTAGTGGTAAAAGTGAACCATTAAGTGACATCAAGCTACTTTTTGATCCATCTGCAAGTGCTACGTGGATTTTTATACTTCCAACTACTTTGCTGACTATTTACTTCATTGCTGACCCGAAACGCGTTCATTGGACTGCGCTCACTCGATAGTGCACCATACTTATGATGTGAGCACGTTTAATTTTGCTTTTGGCAAAGCAATGCATGATCCACCAGTCGTTGTCGTAGCACAAATTTATTTCTTTCTAAGATTCCAGATGTAGTGAAGAAATCTCTATATGATCTTATAGGGAGCAAGAACAGTAGTTGCAGTTCCACGAAAAAGAGATCTTATGGCCACAAAGTGGTGTTGAATCACTGAGAATGTTTATGTAAGTGTAAATTTATATATATATACGTGTATGCATATATATATATACGTGTATGCATATATATATATACGTGTATGCATATATATATATATATATATATATATATATATACATCGCTGTAGTTAGAGATGCCGTGCGATATGCACACAGGCCGTTGGTTAGATCCTGATCTCGGTCAAATAAGTCAGTCTAGGAAATGGAAGGCACATCGATTTATACACCATACGACTTATATTACTCACTTTGTATCAGCCGATACTGCAATTAATGGATTGCCGGAGATAAGCGCTCCAATCTCAACAGAAGACCACTTGGCCACATCGTTCTGAAGATATGCGAGGAAATCCGTCAGCGTTACAATAGAGCAAATCTGAAAGTGAATGTGATAAGTACAGTGCAAACCTTCCAGAAAGTAATCAAAACCATAATCAATACATCTACTTGATCATCCCGATATTCAAACAGCTCGGTCAGGTAAGTATTATAAGAGTATGTGACCCAGGGGTATTATTCAGTTCAATGCATTTGAGCTTCTGTAACTGTGGCTAAAGTGTGAGCATAAAGAAGACTAGATATTCAAACTGCCAATTTATACCAATAGGATCAGTTATCTACATCGATACGAATCATATAACTGGACTTTTTCAGCAGTAAGGACTCATTCTACCATCAAAATCACGTATTAAACTACACTTGTACATTGCATTCCAGCTGCATTCAACAGATAGGCATTCTTGCACAAGAAGGTGGAAAGCTTCTAACAAGTGATTTAGGGGTACCAAGCTTTTACAGTTCCATTAGCAAGACTGCCGCAGATAAGAACGGCGCTAAGATGTCTCCGCTGCACAAATACATGACTCTCGTCGTGTCTGCTTGTTTTTAGGACCGATTTGGTAATACAGATATTTAGATATGCATTCAATCACCTCCAAACGATGCTTGATGAAGTCGAATGCATGGCGCATTCCTCAGGGTCCTCAAGATCAACGACAAGAGCTTTATCCTTTATCGTTTTTTTAATGTCTCCCAACGGTATACCGCCTCATAATGACTGGAAGGTGTTCCTTAGTGTCGAGCTGCGATGTAAAGCACGAGGATTCATCCCCCAGCACAGTCCTCCAAGCTAGGAAGAAGTCCGCCGTTTCCATCAGGATGCCTAGCTAAGAGTAAATCAATACCGGGATCTACCACAGTCCTGGTGTTGCTTGGTGGCAAATCTCGCTCTGATTCATAAGGTCAGCGACTGCTTGTGGCGGTGACAATGTGGGGCAGACGTTGGCCAGACTGACCTCGGAACCCCAGGAAACCACAGTAGCTAAACCAGCAAAACTCCGAAAAAAATGGAAATTATGCTGGGGCTCGCACAATCAGTGAAGATGGGCCATCCAAGTATCCAAGTAAGAATGACTACCAATGGAAGGAGTAAAACGGAGTTCAGTTCGATGCGCAATGTGCGCGAACTCCTTGTTAAATATGGACGGAAAATGGTGAACTCTATAAGCAATTTATAACACATTAAAACGCAAATTCAATGTAAACGTGAAAATACACAACATTCTTCTGCACTTCGCAGTACTCGTGCCCTTATGCTGAATGTGCGATCTAAACGAAATTCGTCACATACCACTAACCCTTTCCTGCGAAGAATCCCAAACTAATCCAGCCCGTACATTTTGTTCGCATAATGCCGAGAACGCCTTGTCTACCTAAAATATTGAGTGATCAAGAATGGGGGAATCTTGATAGAAAATTGTGAAAGTTGTCTCAACAGAACAAAAGGATTTGTCACTTAGTAATGCCGATATATAAGAAAGCAATTCTGGGATTCAACCACAATGATGCTGAGATATTTACAAAACTCCGGACCGCAGGTGTCTGCGGTGGGAAACTAACACGCTACTATCCTTTCCGGGGCTAACGCCTTCACCACCACACCACGCGAGTCCTTCGTTTCGCCTGTCTCTCAGCTAGTGTTCTACTGATTAGTGCCATCAGCAATCACCCGTCAACAGGACTGATCTAGGGAGCCCAAATCGGCAACGAACGTCTGGAGAACATAACAGTGGGACCAATCGATTACAATGGAACGAGCAGGGTGAGCGGTTTTCTGCATTATCATGACGACCAAGACCATTCATTGTATCTCGCAATTCCAAAAGCTCCACCCTTAGCACTGGATGTGGGAAGCTCCCAATGAAGAGTACCATAACGAAATAGACCACATCATAGTAGATCGAAAGCTTTGCCTGAGCGATATCCCTGTTGTCCAAAAATTCTACACGGGATCAAACCATCGCCTCCATGTAAGATTCCATTTTCCGCGAAAAGGAGAAAAAGCCGCTAAATTTTAAAAAAGAAGCCCAAAACCATTACGAACTAGAATTTACTCAGTTCATTAGTCAGCTACTGGAAAGATGTTGTTCAGGATAATATCGATGAAGAATACGATCGGCTCATTCAACATGTTCACGTTAACGCTATGAAAGCTGACAGTTCAAAAGTCACCAAGAGACGTTTGTCTCCAGAAGCACTCGAGCTGATACGCCAGCACAGAATCGCACGAGCTACAGACAACCGCCAACTCACGTCCGACCTCGCAAAGCAATGCAGGCAAGCGATAAAAGAGGATCATAAGAACAGAAGAGCAGTAGTTATAGTCGAAGCTGCAGAGCCTGTGAAAAGCATTCGAAAAGACAATCGAAGCACTGCCAGTCACAAAACCAAGAGGATAACACTTCAGCGCCCAGATGAAACAGCTGCAGTTTCCAGAAAGGCAATGATAAAAATCACCCACGATTACTACTCGGATCTCTTCAGTAGCCACGTCCTCATTTCCTCATATAAAATAAAGGAAGATGGATATATCACAATAATTCCCTGTTTTTCTTCAGTGAGCAAACACGAGATTGGTATTACATCATTTATTAACACACAATAGCTTACGTTTAGGCGGTTTCATCTTCCTCAAACCCTGGAAGAATCAAATTGACATGCAATCTACTCAGCCAAACACTTTCATAACCTTAGTAGAAAAAACTTAACAGATAAATTTTGATTCGTATAATAATCAGCTTTTTTAAACATGCACCGTTTTATTCGTTGTAAGTTTTTCAGTCAATTAGTGGAGAACAGCTGCACTGAGTATAACATGGGCTAGGAATGCGCCTGGGTCAGGTATGGAATCAGACTGAGGTGTGCCCTAAACGAAAAACCATACCCTTAAACGATAATTCTAGCGAGAATAAGGTTCCGTTTACTCCGCCCTTTAATTCCAACGAAATAAGTGCAGCGATAAAACTTTGCTTAAGAAGGGCGGCTCTAGAGAATTCGATAACTGTGACATGGCCGTCTGTGTACAACGAAAAATTGCATAATGTGCTCTAAAGGCAGAGACAATGATTCCATGAGTCCGGCTGCGGTGTACTTAATCCCTTGCAAAGCGTGCGGAGAGGAATACGTTCGCGAAACGAGTAGACCACTTTGCGTCTGTATAAAAGAACACCTAGTGGGTAAACTTGAATTAAAACTAAACACTCCACTAGGCGCGCACAATACATAGAAACATAACGGAAATGATTTTGAAGTAAAAGTCACTATCCTCGCACAGGAATCCAAAATCTCAGCTCGTGAAACTTTTGAAGCGTTTTGGATTAGTTCCAAAAAACCAAAGATGAACCACAAAGAAAGAATGACATGTGATCATGCGTGACCTAGAGCTATACCTCAGCGTGGTTCTATGACCTAAGCCAGGCATATTCCTCGCCCATGTTATACACTCTGTGCGGCTGCTCTCCACCAGTTAACTGGAAGACTGCTGTTATATGCTAATAAATGATGTAATACCAACTCCGTGCTTGTTCATTAAAGAAAAACAGTGAATTTTTGTAATCGATGTCGAGGTTGATAGAAAGTCTGTCTTGGAATGGATATGTCGTAAAATCGGTTCTCCTTTCCGAAAACCGACATGCTGTTTCGTCAGTGAAAAATCGAACAACACCAGGTCAGGACGGAATAAGGTGTGAACGCCTGAAGAAACTTCCGCCGGCTCTCATAAACACACTGGCTCTGCGCTCCACAGATTATCTATCAGAACGCAAGGTTTTCACTTAGTGGAAGACCAGCAAAACTTTGTCCTGCCGGTTAAAAAATAATGGATAGCAAATAAAAAGCTACGCATTCTGATTTCAACTGCAGCCACAACCTAACTGGATTTAATGCCGATTTGTGCTTCCCAGATCATTCCTGCCAATGGGTGATTACTGATGGCATCGTTATAGCAAAAAACTGTCTCTGAGAAAGGCAAATCGAAGGCCTCAGTGGTGCAGCGGGTAATATGTGAGCCCTTGAAACGGTAATCGCCCGTTCGAATCTGGCCTGTGGTCCAAGTTTTACAAATATCTCAACAACATTGCGGTTATATTTTGCATAATCCGCTTCCATTAAAGAATAATAGGTAGTGAATAAAAAGTCATACACACTGATTCAGTTGCTGAAGGCATTATTCTATAACCAGAAAATCATTCTCAAAAGGAAAAAAACGCCTAGTTCCTTACTTCTCCACACCATACTGTCAATAATTCAGTTAACCAGATTGAACTACACAATTACCATCTTTGGTCCCTCTCAGTTAGGTTTTCCTGCCCTATGTCGCACATTACATCTCTTTTTTCTGATCTCAACATTCGTGAAATATCTCCTTGTCCAAACATGCAGTACTATAAACCCACTATTGGTTTTTCGCCTTCCTTCGCAAAACAAGTGCTATAATCATGAAGTTTTTCAGCGATTTCCTTTTGGAACTTTTCGGAATTTGATATAACAGCCGATAATCGAAGCATTCTCATCTGGTTGTTGTACTGACGTCAACACACATTCTTGCAACCCACATAGTATCATTCGAATATGGTCTTGGATCTGGCCGTGATGAGTTCATTGCAGAAAATAGTGTTCTGCTTTGTCTTAGCTTCCTTCGAAGCACATCTGAGCAAAATGCTATTTCTTCGAAGACTACACCTTGTTCCAGCACTGTTTTCCATACATAGATCTGTTTCTTTCTTGGCTGATTGCATAACTTAGTTGTGAGCTTTATTCACCTAGCCTCGTTAGTTATCGCGTAATACGAACGGATACCAGTAACCTCCATTCGTTGTTGTTATGTACCATCGTCGCTCAGAGCGATTCACTCGTTCGAGTGTTACGAACAGCACTCATGATCCACAATGGCGAGCGCCTATAGTGGCGACTTTTATCGTACAACCATTTCAAAAAGAAGAGTACATTGTTTGAAGAGCAAATGACCAATCTAGTGGGTATTGCTTTGCCACTCGAGCTATTTCTCGTAAAAAATCCACCAAAGTTTCCCAGTTTTAAGCGTGAATAAACTATTTACGTCCCATGCAACCATTCACAATGCGGTGCGGTAAGGGTGCAACATTTAGAACCGTAACGTGTATGACTGCCAATCATAGCAAGGAAGTGCTGCCTGCTTTGATACAACAATGCCTACGAAGTATAACCAATTCGTCACGTGGTTGCAAACCGCTTAATAATATAACAACCAACTTAAAAATGGAACAAAAGTTACCTTGAGAGATTTATCGAGCACTATAATGTTTACAGATGGAGGAGATAATTCATAGCAGTCGACAACTCGCATGTACTGCCGATAAGGGTCAGAAAGCGAATCTAAATAGTACGATATTTGGAACACCTTTACTTAGCCGCTTTTACTTCTTTAAAGACAAGATAAGAAAATAGGATAACCATAATAGAACATGTGTGTTCATCACTTAAGTAGGACCATTAACAAAACTGAATAATGACATTGCGGAACGACTCTCATTTAACCATGGCATGAATGATCAATGTACGACATTTAATTGATAAGCTAAAACGAGGTTGTTACCAAGCATCTATTCGGATAATGTTTCGACGTCTTTGTCTTCCTCAGAGCCAAGTCGATGATCCACAGTCTTCCGTCCTCTCGATGTGATATCTTCGTCCGAGTACCGAGTGGAATCTTTTTCAATGAAGCACCATTCAAATGAGCGAACCTCACGCGGCAGCGCTCTTTTATACATGACGGGTGTTGTTGATAATGGTTGTCCGTTGATAATAATTTGTTTTTCAACAGACCTTTCATGCTGCAGCAATCAGTATTAAACCCGAAGATTCGAGTGAATAGGATGACAAAGACACCACATCGAAAAGACGATCAACTTCGGAACATCGACTCGGATCTAAGGAAGACGAAGACGAAGAAAGGTTTGCCTAATAAATAATCGGTAACAACCTAGTATTAGCTTACCAATGAACTGACCGTGTAAAATTTTTTTAAAATATTGAATCACTCCTGTAAAAGATGAAGTCAACAGTATCTGTGAATAGCAGAGATAAAGGAAGATCCACAAGTTAAGGTGGCCACACTTCTACATGGATCCTCGCTATATGTACTATACAGACAAGCTCAACTATAGGATACCCATAGAAGGAAGCAAACTGAATATCCTTCACTTTGGATGGACCAGAATTTTTCGTGAGCTGAGGAGTACGTTGTAAGTGTAATGAAATGACTATGACATTAAATATTAAAAGTGCAAGAAAAATCCGTGCTTGTGTTTAATGCGGTGACTCAGCGCGCTAAAAACGAATGAGACACACAGTTTTACGCTGTTCTGTGACTCGACAGTCACATTATTGTGAGGTTGTGTGTTTCGCTTTCAACAGAGAATCTTTAAGTATAAGACACAAACTTAATTTGAATGTTGTTAGAACTTTCGTTAGGAAATCACATCACCACGTGAATGGAAGACAGGATATTTGCGTTGAAGTGTAAAAGTAGAAACAACTTGCAGCATTCTTCACCAGCAAAAGAAAGATATCAGACAGAACTGATAAAACCCTATGAGACATAAAGTGCGAGGTTTTCGCTCATCTAAAACAATGCTAAGAGAACTCTTAGGGTAAACTAGACACTTGACAGCAAGCACTCTTCTACAACGAACGATATTTTGTGGTTAAAATGGTGTAATGGACCGTGGAATTGTCATTCCGAAACAATATGCTCGCAAAATAACGGTATTTTGTATGTGCCATCTTTTCTACAGCTGATCACCTACGTCATATTATCAAAACTTGATATGGATTTAGTTGTTCCTCCTCCAATTCTTTACTTTTGGTCATGGACCAAACCGCTGTTTGTTTCAGGGTTAATCAGCACTGGCAGCAAAAGACAAGGCATTAACTAAAGTAGTAATTTTTTTTATTGCCAAAGTTTGACAATGTTAAGGCCAACGAAAACCTATAAACAAAACAATGACAGATGTTTCGAATAAAACCAAAAGCATGCTTTGGTATGAGCAAAACTCGAAGCCTCGGGTGCGCGTCGAACACGCGATTTTTTTTTTCTTGGCAGAGTATGTGAGATACAATCGCAATGATACAGGTGACTCCGAGTTTTGCTCATATCTCAACATCCCTGTGGTTGTATTTCATATGGATTCAACCTTGCCATAAAGAAAGAGTAGGCAGCAAATAAAGGTTAGGACAGCATCTCGAATAGTTTAAAAAAAAAGGAAGAGTATGAATGATAGCTGCTCACCAACGAGGCCAACCACATCAACAGATAATGGGCGAGAAGTCTTTCGAAGGATGAGAAAATCCTGAAACCACGTGAATGTAGCAGAATGTGAAACAACGCAAATATGGCGCAAATTTAAACCTATAGGAAACAAAACAAGAAAGAACAGTAACTAGAATATAAAATTATTTAGAACCTAGAAAAGTTGTTTGGTAGACAAAACAGCAAGCGACATATTACTGCCGAGCTTAGCACACAAAATGTTCGCCAATCTTCTTGGTCCCTATCACCCAGTTTCACAGTAGCATTTCGATATCCACGCTTTGGGAACATGAGAATTTTAGGATTTGTCCCATTCCCAATGGCATCTAATTTTGCTACCCAACCGCCACAGGGGAGTGACGCGTGATCTTCAGCCTTTAGGGATTAGTTGATTTTTGACGACAAACAATAATTTTTCGACAAAAATCCCTGCACCGGCTTCCTAATAACTTTAGCACTGGTCAATAATTTATTGTTCTTTTTATGAGTAAACACAAGAGGGGTTGTTATTACACTATTAATTCACAATAGGTGGCGTTCCGGCGGTTTTCTGCTCTTCAGAACCTGGAAAGGAAAACTGACACGCAGTCTACTCAGTCAAACACTTTCATAACTTCACCAGATAAAACTTAATATATGAATATTTTTTGATAACTAGAGAACCTGAGATGTTATGAGCATAATACGATTGTAGAAGTGAATTGGCTTCAACGTTCTGTTGGTAGGAATAAACTATATGCGATTATTTACTATGTGTTATTATGGTCCTTCGTTCAAACACATTCCTGTCACCATTTTGAAGAGCTTTGCAGCTTATTTTGAACCTATTTCGGCATTGTTTTGTACCCGCATACACGATAGAGGAACAGTAATTATTCATATGGATTAAAAGAAACAACAATTTAGCTTTTAGTCAAGTTAGTTACTAATGAATTTCCTCGAAAAGAAGTGCCATGGAATTCATCAAATTAGGGAATGGCTCTTCCGCCCACACCTTTTCTACACTGATCCGCTTTCGATAAGCTATCGAATGGTTATAAAAAGTGCGGTAAAAATGCAGTCCGCGCCAAGATAAACCATTAGAAAGAAAATGACCCTTACGTAACTCATATCGACCGTTCGGGCTATTAAGTATGCCACCAATAGCATCCATGTCGGTGCGAATGAGTTCATGAAACAAAGAGCAAACGGAAAAATGATATCGAAGGAGCGCTGCAATCTACATTATGTGGTAAATTGTGACCTATGCATAAAAATATCCGGAGGAAAACGCATATTTTAATCTTGATAAATACAGAACAAAAATATACAGACTTGAAATAACACATTTGAGCCCGCTTGGATCCCGAGCGTAATGCGTCATCAAATCTACCTTTATTTTTATCACACTGAGATATTTGTTCCAGGACAGTGATTCAACTGTGTTCCTCATAAGAAGGTAGGTCATCTACATATATTTCTCACCGAACTATTACTTCTAGGCCTTCGGAAGGCCCCGTCATCGTCGTAGAAGTGGGAAGATTCTTCGTCGTCTTCACGAAGATCATAAACGGAGTTCAACTGACAACCATTTACCTAAAATAATAGGAAAACTCCTTTAAAAACAGTAAAAAAAAACTTCAATTGTCTCAAATTCGACACAATGATTAAGATACTGTGAGAGTCAATAACGGAAAACATCCTTTCTGATCATAAGAATAGCAATATGTGCTAGATTGGGCCAGTGTTATTAACACAGCGCTTGGTGAAGACAGTTTCTCCATATTGTACTTTTTAAAATCATTTTACCAATTTCCCAACCCCGAATGGATGAGAGGCTTGGGCGGTATCGACCAGCACCGTGCTCGTGATTATCAGTATCGCTAGATGTGCTAACCGACTTCATCATATCATACATTTAAAGATTATATCGTCTATGTAAAAAAAGACAAAGAGTTCAGCATTGATCAGTACCTAAAGAAGGTGCCACGCATTCGATTTCATTAAGCATCGCTGGAGGCGAATGAATACACATCTGGCCTCTTACAATGATTTCCGGTAGCCTAACAAAGCATTAAATCAATGCTGCTATCCTCGCAACGGAGACAAGCCTGGTAGCAATTTCCCGATGCCGGAGGGATGAAAGTCTTGGTAAACCCGGACGCATCATCTAACCTATGACCGCGTGTGTACTGTAGGACATTTTTAACCACTGCGCTATATGTGCCTGTTATCTCATGATATCTGCATTCGGTATTGATCAGTTAAATTAATCAGTTTTATTGTACTAAACCCAACCAAATGTCGCGCAACCAGCATTACAAAAATGGGAAGGACTGAGGTTTGAAACGATTCCTCACCCAAAAGACCACAAATTTCTCTTCAAGCGTGTACCACTTTAAGCAAGTCGCTAACTATTTTCAGAAAAAAATCTTCAACAATGAAACCATTTAGAAACTCCTTAAAACCAACAAGTGATTCTAAAAACTTGGGAAATTATCGCATGGATATATATACACCCCAAAGCTAAAGTTGCTAGAGTTGCAGAGTATAAAATATCTTCATTTAAATTAATTGAGATAAAGTCAAGCTAGAATTGGTGCACAGTTGAAAGCCAAAGACCGAAAAGGCTTTGTGATTTCCTGCGACAAAATTTCGAGAAATGTTTTAAAGAGTCGCTCCTAACTCCTACGTCATTCGTTTTAAACAGTAATAGAAATCACAAAAAATAGGTAAAATCCTAAATGACTACCTGCACCTTCTTCAGCTTGGTCTTCTTTAGCAATTGACAACTAAGACTTTCAGATCGCTGGCGACCCATTAGTCCACGAATTCCTGAAAACTTGTGAGAATTATGAAGGAAACAACGGCTTCGAAAATACGTTTCGATTTCTCGCATATCAAAGCTCGTATAAATCGATATGGCTCGCATAGTCACGATTTTGACTAGAAGCATTCACTTGGTTGTCGACTTGTCAACGATGAAATTTCACCAGCAAACTATAAGAGACAAAAAGCTGCACTGAAAATTAAGCTCTTCACGGACGTGAGAATTTGAACTAATATTCAATATATTCTCATTATTAACAAAAGTGTCGACTACCTTTGACGAGTGATAAAATTTTGAAAGTCAGTAACATATGAAATCAACAGAAGCGAGTTGGAACCGGTTTGTCTAGAAAACTTTCCTCGAAACAGGAAATGACATTAGCACTGGTGGAAAAGTAGCAATGAAAAGAAACCAATGACAATGAAGTAAGTTATGCAGGATAGTACGAAAAATGTTTCGTCAATCCCCAACGTTTCGACGCCATCAACTTCTTCACAGCTGCGATAATTCAACTCGAGTGCAAATTTTTTTTTGCAATGTGGGTTTCAGGATTCACATTGACACTACTGGAATGCAGTGGAGTACGATACGAATTATGGAGCTAGCTAAGAATTTGTCTCATATGGAAAACGATTCTTGCAAAAATAATGAAGTAACCTCCACCAGCAGTGATCCAGGATAGGAGACGATTTTCGGTCAATATGGAGAGAATCCACATCATATTTCCATGGAGGCAGTTCGCTCTGTGGAAGTCGGAGTACCTGGTTGGTACATAGCAAAGGAATCTTTCCATTATCGATTTTCGTCTTAGCTCCTCATTGATAACCAATATCCGGATTTATTGGCAAGTTTTCACCGGATTAATAAAAAAAATTGCTGAATCGCACTGATTTGAGTTCGTCACTCGCCATGTGAGAAGTATACAGCACGTTAGCCCAGTTATATCACATGTATACATATACGGTATAGACGATTTGGACCTGCGACTATGATTAGGTTGACGGCTAATTAAGCTAAACTTTAGAAAAAATCCTTTTACCTTACTTTGAACGGCTCATAGGCGTGCAATCTTTAGGTATGTTGTGAAAAGTCCCAGGCATTTTTTAAGCACCTTTGTTACCTGTCCTCCCGTTCACTACCGATTGACTCGAGCGAATAACCAGTATAATATGTCCTGGTCGTGCACAAGAGTATTCCAGTGTGTTCTCTTGGCTTTACTCGCATATTTTTGCTCAAGGTTCTTCGTAAAGAATTTTGGTCTTCCTGCTGTAAATCTGACACCCTGTGTGACTCAGTGTTAACAGTTCTTGCTCATCAATTCACATTCGGACTCATCGACTCATCAACAACCTGACAAAGTTGATTTTCGACAGCTTGATGTACATAGCTCGCCTCTAACCTTTGATTGTCGTCGTAAGTCGGGACTCGGAATCTCTCTCTCTCTCTCTCTCTCTCAGTCGCATGATGTGGGATACTACTGTCAGCGCATTCTCAGCTGTGCGTTCAATAGGGCTTCCAATTTTCAGACACGTACTTTAAGGCGAGATTGTCCTCTTTAGTCCTCCTCCTCACTCTCGTAGGTCCTAAAAACTCTCCAAGTCTCATGTACAGCTTCGGAGCTAAGTTGTTCATCACGTTGTCTTATCGATCCAAATACACATACCTGTAACATTGATATTCTTTCCGTTGAATGTGAAGAGGGCATGGGAAATAAGTCAATGTCGCATGAACATGTTCTTTTTCAGATTTTGTAGAATAGTATTTCAACAGGCACTCTCGAAACAGACTAACATACGCTCTGGCTGGCTAATTCTTTGTGTTACAAAAACTACATCACCAGCAGGAGGAAGATGATGTAACTATCAACCAACGAATTCTTCATTCTCTGTCTTGCCTCATTTTACTTTCATATTCTGGTGTTATAATCTGGCATGATATTCCCAAAGGTGGTTGAAAATAGTTTTGGCAAGATGCTATAGCGTTGTCCAACCCATTCATGTCAATAGCAATCCCTTTGTGTAATTGTGATGTTTTGGTTGCAAAATTAATACATAGGTCATGAAGAATCTCTATTCATCAAAGAGAGATGTCCAAGCTATCGTAAGCTTCAATAAACGCTTCTGTAACAATTGACCTCAATGCCTTCTTTAAGTCGATGAAAGAGAAACAGAGCAGCCGATCCAGTGTGCCAGTTAGGACTGCCGCAAGGTTCTTGAAATGTTCAGATCTTATGCTGCCCGGACCAGATTTTGTTTAATTCTTCACGCTCTTCAGGTGCACATAGAATGCTTCAACAATGTTGTCATCCCAGACTCAAGTTTTGACGCATATGACAAAGGCTGTCAAGGCCCGTATTGGTCCATATTTGTTCACCCCAAAGGATCTCCATTTGGCTCCTTAGTTGTTCAATGAATCGATGTTTGCTGCCAAAGTCGGCTTGACGAGGACGCCTCTCTAAGGATTCCTCTAATGTCGCATGTGCCGAAAAACAGTTCTCCGCTCCCCTCAACGACGTTACGAATGGATTGTTTATCTTTTTTTATTTTTTCTTATCTCGGCCATCTGATGACGTTTTTAACCATAGCCATCTTAGTCTGCACCATTAGGCCCTCACTGAAGAAATCGGATACTGGTGAGGTGTGCATGTAAACTACTAATCGCCCCATAGTCCTTCTAGATTTAGGAGGCCTAGAAATGCTCCGAGATTTTGGCGGCCTCTTTCGCCATATCCACTGCTGCCGTATCGAAGACGTTCCAGGAATCAGGGGAATGAGGACCGTTTAGTTTACTGCTTGGCTCTTTATACCCACATACAGCCTGCTGAGCTCTGGACGCGGGAGCCGGTTATACTCACGGGTAGCTTGGTAGTCTGTCCCAGACGTTTTCGACCAACTGATTTGTAGAATACAATCATTTATGGAAGAAGATGTTCAAATAATTCTTCCTTATTTTCACATTATTTTACATGACTCGTCATAACAATCACTGTGCGGATCTCAGTACTTCTTGCATTCCATTCGTTTTCTTCGAATTCATCGTCCACAAAATTTCGAACACTGTGTTATTTCTGCTGCTGCTTCAGGGTTAGAATGCTGGTCGATTCCATTCTCTTTGCAATCTTGGAGATAGCGAGGCTAGGGTGCAGAGCCTTGGAGTTGGGAGAGGGTTCAACCAGCACCTCACGTTGCTTCCTGATGGATTGTATTACTAACCACTGCGCTACCACTTCTTCTATCCGCTTAAATACCGAAGCGGTGTGTAGAACAGGCATGGCAGAAATAGGAGATCTCTTCGGAGATCCACGAATTTTCTAAGGATATTTCCTAAGGATACAGTATCAAATGGCATATATTGTAAAGAGAGATTTAAAAAGCAGTGACAAATTTCGAAATGGAGTGATCATTCACTACGACCACATCCTCAGCAGTGGCATTCGTGTTTTTGTTGTTAATAGCAAAACTATTCTAGGTTAAGGTGCAGTGCATAAATACACTGAATCTCAATAGTTCTAGTTCACCACTACCGATGACACGATCCTCGAAAGCAAACTCAACTGGAAGGTTCTGAAACAGAAGCAAATGAATACCACAACAGTGCCCAGTCAAACCTTTCGATGATTAGTGAGAGGTCAGATGACGGGTTGCTGAGAATCACGTGTAGCCTTCAAAATACCACTTCAAAAAAGGCTAACTCGAAAAGTGTGCTATTAGAGGAGTAATCAGTCTGAACACTAAAACGGTTTTTTAATGTTTTCAAGAACATCATGTACCACTGAGAATACTTGGGTGCCGCTGAACGCTCCCCGAGTTGAATCGACGTCGAACGATCGCTGAGCGACTTGGCGCTGCAAATATTCACCTCATATAAACATAAAAAATGAATCTTTGCCATAAGTTATAAATCTTTATTGTGAGAAACCAGTTTATGGTTTATCTTGAATTGAACTTTCCATTTAAAAAGACGTGTTGACAATGAAGGGAAGCAGGTTGGAACACTCTTACGGTTGAACGATTTCTTGCAAATGCAAGGAAATAGCTCAGCCCGAATTTTTGAAATGTATGTATATTCTATATATTATTCATGAGCGGATATCTATTCTAAAAATTGCTGGCAATTTCTTAATAACTAAAGCAAAGGCAGCAAGCACATTGTTCTATCACTCTAAGCGCTTATATAGATTTTCTAGGGTGTTAATTTAACTTTAAAGTCGTGTTAATTCTAATTTAACAAAACGTTCAGACTCTAAAGAAATTTTAACACAAGTGTGACAGCTGGAGACACTAAATCGGGAAACTACGGCTTCATTGTGGTAAAATAAGTAGGTTCTTACATTGACGATCAGGATCAACTGAATTTAACGGTTATTATTTCAACTAGTAAAGTTCATTAGAGTTGAAGGCGGATGCTGCAGTATTCGCCACCATGCCTAAATTCCGTTTAGCAGCCGTGTACGACTATGCCTAATCTTTCAATAAGTGCGATCTGCACTGAACTCAACACATTTGTTCTGTTGTGTTCGCACATGCTCTCGTGGACTGACTGAATGCACTTTATTTTCACTTAGACGCCTTATTCATGTATTGTGTACTTGCATTTAAATTTTCTTTTGCTGCATATGTATTTTCTACGATACTTTTCATATTCAATCGATAACCATCTGCCCATAGATGTACTACTAGTCGTCAAAGAAAGGCTATTTTCTACACTAGCAATATCAGATTTTGGGAAGAGCACGATCGTTTATATAAATTACACAGTGACACCTTGCCACTTGAACCGAGATAGTAACATGGAAACCATAAAAATGAGAAAGGTAATGAGACATTTTAGAAAACCTACTTTCCGTAACGGCACGACTAATCAATTCTTTCTAGTTGATTACGCTGACACAAGATTGGTATGAAACTTTGTTAAGATGATGTCTCGACATTGTCGTCTTCTCAAGAACCGGATCGATCCAAATTGATAATCAAGAGGTAGTCGGCCTCATT